GAATTTTCTCTTAGAGGCAATGAAGAGCCATAGAAAATGTTTGAGTAGCTGATGGGGGTGGAGGAACGTGCTCAGTTTGCCATCAGTTTGGCAGCTGTGTGAAGGAGTGATTGGGAACAGGGAGATGGGTTAGGAGAATGTTGTGATGGTCCCTGTGAGAGGTGATGAGAGTCTCAAATGGGGTAAAGGTCGTGCATGCGTAGAAAAGGATAGAGGCAAGTGAAGGATCAGCAAGGTTTGGCATCTGGGGCTTGAAGCAGAGGAAAGACTCTGAGGTGACTCCAAGGTCATGAACCTGGGTGACTAGAAGGTTGGTGGTGCTGTCCACAGAAATGGGTCCATTTCAAAGGAGACATGAGTTCTGATTTGGACATGTTGACTTTGAGCTATCTATGTGTCATATGAAGACCTCTGAGGCCACTAAGTCCAATGCCTTCATTTTACAAATGAGGAAATAGGCAGAGAAAGATGATTCGCCCATGGTCACACCTAATGTTGGAGGTAGAGTTTGAACTTGGGTCTTCTGGAGATGTGTGGCAGGCAGTCGATAATATGGGACTGGACCTCAGGAGAGAGCTTAAGTTTGTATATACAGACTTGGCAGTCATCTGTGTGGACATGATGCTTGAAACTTGGGGAGATAAAGAGATCACCAAGAGAAAGGGTATATGGAGGAATAGGACAGAACCTTTGGAGACCTAGTGGGCGTGACATGAAGATCCAACAAAGGAAATGGAATAGTGGTCAGATGGACCACTGTAGGAAGAGCATCAGTGGAGGTCAAGGGAGGTGAGACTGTCCGAGAGGCAGTGGTCTCCTTGAGAAGGAGAATCCTGAGGAAAGACCTGTGGAGAGCCTTGGGGGAAAAACAGCTTTGGCTGAGTAGTAGAGTTGGAAGCTAGATTGCGAGGGGTTTCAGAAGTGGGAGGTGAGGAGATGGAAGCAAGCATAGACAGCTCCTTCCTAAAGGCTGGCATCTACACTGGGGCATAGCGTGTGGTCCAAGCAGGGCAAGGGCGCAGGTCAAAACCATCCCACCCCATTTTAGCTTGGTGCCTTATCTAGGGGAGAAGATGTCTCCATGGACGATCAGTCAAGAACAGGCCACAGACCAACAATTGTGTTCTGATAGGCCAAGGAAGTTCCAGGGATCATTTACGAATTATCTGGCAGGGGAGAAAGGAGAGCTTCCAGCTTTCTAGCACTCCACTGAGGAATCACCCTGGGGGAAGGGGAGGAAGAGCCTTAGCTTTCGCCTGGTCTCCTTTCCCTCTCTCACTTTGGCTGGAGAAGGGCTTCCAACTTCAGAGGGTCCGCAAGATGTTGAACGGGCTTCCTGCCTTCTCATTGGTGTCCTAGACGGCATCCCTGGGTAGCTGAGGGCAATGTCTGCATCCTGGGGAGCCGAGGAAGGGAACGCACGTTTATTAAGTACCTACTATGTGATAAGTGTATAGGCACTCAGTGTAGAGTACAGTGCCTGGGTACACTCAGCTCTGTATTTGAGGATGGTTTGTATAAACTGTCACCTTATTAAATACTCCTTTCTACAAGCTACTTAAGGCTGGCTGACTGATAATCTTGAGTGTGGGCGTGAGCCAAGGACATCCCTTCAGTGTCACTCTTGGAGTCCTGGGAGGAGATGGAGCCAGCCTAGCTCGGGGGACCCTGCTCATCACTGGGGTCGGACACAGATGAGGCTCAGCTAGCCAGGCTCGGAGGAGTGCTGCCCAGTGCTCCAAGAGGATTTGAAGAGGGAGGGAATCCCTGAATAGTGGGTCTGATGCCACCCCCTCCCTTTTATGGCTGAGCCAAGGAAGGCCCAGTTTGGGAAGTGACTCATTTAGGGTCACTCAGCCAGCTGATTGAGGGGCTGGGACTCAAGCATGGGCATCCTGCCTATATAGACTTTTGTGTGTGTGTGTGTGTGAGGCAGTTGGGATTAGTTGACTTGCCCAGGGTCACACAGCTGGTGAGTAGCATATGTCTGAGGCTGGATTTGAACTCAGGTCCTCCTGACTCCAGGGCCAGTGCTCTATCTACCACACCATCTAGCTGCCTCTCTGTACAGACTTTCTTATCGCCAAGTCCACGTTCTGGCCAAGTTCTTCCTTCTCTTTGATCTCTTTCCCTGCTTTGGTCCTTTCTGTCACCCTGCTGTCTTCTGGAAGGCTGGAGATACCTGTCCAGGGATGGGGCCAGGCAGGAAACGCTTCTGAGGCAATGTGGCAGGACAGAAAGATGCCCAGTCCTCACAGCCACAAGAGCTGGGGGGCCCGTGCATCAGAGGCAAATGCCACCTGACGCTCTGAGTAGAATCCTTTTGCTTCCCACACGAGCAGGCTGTATGAGCTCCCTAGGGGAGGGGGCTGAAGTCAGGAAGAAAGAGATTCATGAGCTGTGTGACCTGGGCGGCTTGCGAAACCTCTCTGGTAGCTCCTGCCAATGGGGTCATTGTGAGGATTAAATGAGATAGTGTATGAAAAGAGCTTTGTAAGTCTTTGCGCTACATAATGTGAGTCATTATGATGATCTCATCCTGTCTCTCTCTTAGTATAGGGAGAACCACAGGGGAGGAGCCCAGTCCAGTTCTGCTGAATGAACATCCCAGCCTGCATCAGTGGGGAGGGGGAGGCTCTGCGCCTCTGGCTGCTTTATGGAGATGCAGCCCCTGCCTCCCTGGGTTGTGAGGATGAAAGGAGATGTCTGTAAGGCACTAGCACGGGTGCCCGTGGGGGGAAACCATATATTATATTGGTTCCCTGACCACCCCCGACCTGTCCAGTGAGTATAGTCAGTTTATAAGCCACTAGTATAAAGGGGCAACAGCAGGAAATGAGATTGCAAAGGGGAACCTGGAAGCCACCTACAAACTGTCCCAAAGATCAGAGAAGCAGAGTTTACAAACTGTCCCGTTAGCCAAAATTCACATTCTGGGGACGTGTGCTGAATCAGCAGAGGCCACCGAGGCTCTGCCGTCAGGGTTCCTGGTCTTATGGCACACTAATTCCAGACAAATTCCAGACCTCCCTGGTGCCAGACCATCAAAAATATGAGTAACTTTAAAATGGTGTGGACATGTTAACTTCAAAGTTTTATGGATAGTTTTGAGATGATTTGGGTGTGCTAGTGAACTAACCTCCAGAAAGCAGAGAAGTTAGTCTGTTCCCCCCAAACCTATAAAATGAGGCCTCAACCTCCCAACCCCCTTCACTCCTTCACCTCCTAAGGGTCCGTGCTGCTCCAGGCTTCCAACTCCAGTCTGAGGGGATGTGCCTCGTCTCCTTGCCAGCCTTTTCCTCGTGCTGCCTGCCTCCCTCCACCCTCCCCTGTCTGCCTCTGCCTTCATACCCTCTGCGCTTAATTAAAGTGTGATTTCCTACTGCCAGTCATGGTCTGTCCTGGAAAGTACCCAAAGAACCAGGCGTACCTGCCATCATTTCATCAATTATCAAGTCAGCCTGGCACACAGAAGGCAATTAATAAATGTGTATTGATTGGTTATTGTCTGGTTGGGAGACCCATGTACAAAGTGGTGGGCACAGACCTTTCAGCTGGCATGGTGTAGGGGAAAGAACTCGGGAGTAGGCCTTTTCCTTCCCTGTTTCTTCATCTGTCAAATGAGGAGGTTGGGCCAGGTGACTGCTAATGCCCTTCTCAGCTCTGGAGCTGGGATCCCCTGACACTGTGTCTTAGGTACGTTTCGATTAGCTATTGGTTATTTGTGCTTATCTCTAGAGCTTTTCCTCGAGGGCGGAGGCCATCTTCTCTTCATGGCCTTCCTGTGACCACCTCTGGGCACCCCAAGGCCTAGCACAGTGAATGATAACTCTTCTCTGTCACCACCACCAACTGGCTAAGCACAGGATATACTGGTCTGTTTTAGCAGGGAATCCTGGGCTAAGAATTATGCCACATAACTGGAAGGCCCAAGTAAGTCCTGAAGGCAATGGTCAAGGGGCATCAGGCTAGAATGAAGAGGTAAGAAATGAATGTGAGAATTTCTCAAGAACACATTAAAATTATTTCTGTCCCCAGGGGTGGAAGTTCTGGTACCAGGCATGGAAGGGGATTGGGCTAGCTCTGGAGAAGACATGTCTTTCTCTCTCCTGGGCCTTGGTGACCGTAGCAGCCATGGCGGCATGCTGGGTTGGGTTGTTTTGGGGTAGACTTATCACTCCCCAGCCCTTCCCTGAACTCCTTCCTTACTGAAAAGGCCTTGGGCAGCTGTGGTTCTCTCTCTCTCTCTCTTTTTTTTTTTTTTGGCTAGGCAATGGGGTTAAGTGACTTGCCCAGAGTCACACAGCTACTAAGTGTTATGTGTCTAAGGCCGGGTTTGAACTCAGGTCCTCCTAAATCCAAGGCCAGTGCTCTATCCACTGCGCCACCTAGCTGCCCCCCAGCTGTGGCTCTCTTGAGCTCACTACTGGCATCGCCCATGGTATGCTGGGAAATCCCAGTAGCCATGCACTGATAGTCAAGAGGCAAGGATGAGAATCATGTGAAATGAGAGAAATAAACACTAATCAGCTCTTTCCAAAGAAACGTCTGCCTTCCCATGTGGCATATTTTAAGCTTTCCTAGCCTGTGAGGCACAATTGCTCCATGACAACAGATCGCTTTTCCTCACCTTCACAATGAAAGCAGCATCTCGTATTTCTTCTGCCTCCTCCATGGTGTCTGATGCAGTATGTGGGACGTTCACAGCAAAGGGCTCAGCCAATGTCATCGGTCAGTTAATCTTCCAGAATGAGCTATTTCTTCACTGGGAAACGCCCACACTTAATGATATATTTTGTTTTTTCACAGATGCCCCAACCAGCTGAAAGGCTTTTTGTTCAAATGGGAGCTTGGTTGGGTGACCCCAATAAGATCACCACAAAAAGAAAGAATGTTACTCTGACAATATGTATTTTCAAAATCTGCTTTTATTTACATTTCAAGTCAATCACATGCAAACTTTATTTTTTAAAACAAGAATGTGATTAGCAAAAGATGCATTAGAATTTTAAAATAGCAATTAAATATACAAAAATATAGCTTACAAAAACAGCGAATGTTTTAAAAAATATTCTGCTGCAGAATTTTTAGTGTACAAATATGTCTATGAAACCAGAGGCTCAGAGTTTCATAAACTTTTTCAGGAGTTACACGATATCTACTTAAATAACCCATGGGCAACACTGCACAAAGATTACCTCTGGGATCTGTCATAAGACACAAACCCAGTGACTAGAAACACTCCCTTTCACAGGAATGGGAGGATCTGTTGATTCTTTCATTGGAGACAGTCACTGTCTATTCATTCTTTAATAGTAGATGTCTTGCCTTGCAACTATTCTGTTAAAGGAGAACGGTATTCCAGCCATCCCAAGGGTTAAGAAACGATCAGCAGGGATCTTAGGAAAGCTTGCCTGAGGAGCAGTATCTTGGCATACTTTGTTCAGGCTGACTTGGGGCCTAAGCCCTGTCCCCAGCTAACATGATGGCACTGATTCTGGGGACCAGGTGCTGGTATCAGGATTTGGGCAGCCTTAGTGCAGTTAGAAACGAGTTCTATTGACATCTGTAGGGATTAGGTTCTAGGAGAAATCTGTTCCAGCATCAAGAGTTCATACCTCACAGTGAGGGTAAGGGTACACAGTTCAGATTTTGGAATCCTTGGCCACTCACACAAAATGTAGTCTGGCAAATGAAGACAGCAGACACTTAACTAATGCTGATTAGAACTACTTTTCTCTACAAACACAGATCCTAAATCTGAACTTCAAAATACTTAGTTTTCAAGATATTTTTACATACTATAAAATGGGAGTAAGCATCTGAATTCCGCTTTCCTGCCCCACTCTGCAATCTGTCCTAATCTTTGAGATTCTTATCTTCATTTATTAAAAACACAGCAATTTACTTATCCAGAGAGCCAGACAGCAACCAGAGGCAAAGTTCAATGCAATCAAGTGCACAACACTCTTCCTTTTCTTCAACAATCCCATGCAGTTTGGGTGAAGAAATGTTTAAAGTCAGGCTGTGGATCTGAGAGAGATGGATGAATGGCGAAAGTCCGATGAGATCTGAAAAGTGCTTCTAGTTAGGATTGCTTTTTCTTTCAAGTTTCAGTTTCAAGGCTCAGGAGTCAAGTGTTTTGGGTCCAGGGTTAGGACAGCCCAAGTTTACTGGCAGGCCACGGGGAACCACATGCCTTGTGGTCCAGGCCAGGAGTGAGAAGAGACAAGGGGGGAAATGGTGCATGGCTCTGGATCATGTTCTGTTGTGCAATTTGTAGATGAGCAGAGAGGCAGCCTGACCAAGTGGGACATGCACTGGACTTGGTGGTAGAGGAGATCTGGATTCATATTCTAAGTCCAGAATTACTAGCCATGTGATGCAAGACAAGTGACAAGTTCTCTGGCTTTCAGTCTTAGCTGTAAAACAGGGATCGTATACTTGTGATGCCTCCTACACAGTTACTGTGAAGAAAGGGCTTTTCAAACCTTCAGCCTGCCTTACTGGAGTGGGGGACTGGAGATGTGGCCTGAGTTCACTGGATAGGCTCACTTACTGACCCTACCAGAGAATACCCCATGGGAGGATGATACACTAACCCTCATGACTCTACATATAGATTTAGGCCCCTTGGGTTACAGAGGAGCACACTGAAGTCTGGAGACAAGAAGGGACTTGCCCATGGTCACACCAGTAGCAAGTCAGGATTTGAACCTGGCTCTTTTGGTTCCAAATTCAGTGCTCTTTCTGTTTTAACATAATTCCTCCCCCAACCAATGAACAACTATGGAAGTAAAAATGGATAACTATGACAACGTTCCCATGACCTCAAAAAACATACAACCACATCTGCATCAAGTGATACATCAGTGATCCCCACAATTCACAACAGAAAGCCCTCCTTTCCCGACCAGGGTAAGCCATGTTTGGCTTAGTGAAGACTATACTCCCAGCAGTTTGTTTCAAAATAGGATAAAAGGATGTGTAGGGAAGGAATTACGTTAAAAAAAAATCATTCTTGTTTTCTCCTCAAAACAACACAGGGAAAAAGGAAAATAAATGAATTAATATGGTACACATAATAATATACATGGCATGCATATATATAGCTAATTCCAAGTATGGTTACAAGCCAGTTTAGCTGCCACTAGGACCCTGGGCCTTTTCAGCTCACCAGCTGGAAAACAAATGCAGGTCAGCCCTCCATGTACAAGGATGGGGGAGGGGTGGGGAGGGAGGTAAGGAGAGGAGATCTTCTAGGCAGTCTAATAAGCCGCTTGTGGCCCCTTTCCTTTTCATCCACCTCCCGTCACATCTGGAGTCTTCATCTTTATTAGGGAACTGCTGAGGATAAGGGAAACGTTTCAATGAGCTTTAACAATCAATGGAAAAGACCTGGCTAAACCAAGGGAAGTTAAGAACATTGATTGTACTGCCACTCCCATGTATTTGGCTCAGGCTACCATGAATGCTCTGACAAGGTCTAGATCTGATCACTATTCAGTTGGGCACTTAAAAGGTCAAATCAAGGGCATTTATGGCAAGGGTGAGGGAGGGAATGGAAAGTTTCTAATTTGTACAGAAACAAAGAATTCCATTATGTTGCAACCAAGCCAGTGATATGCCTTACTGGAAAGGAATGTGTTTCAAAAAATGTTAACTCCATTTGTTCCGTGATTCTGGAATCAGTATTTCCAGATGAACTGACTACGACCAATGGAAGGGCTGAGGGCTCCCCTCACCAGTCAGCCAACCCCAGGGATGAGCTCTGGGGACCTATCACTCTGTTGGGGTGATGTGTGAAGATGCACCGATGAGCTCACCGAGGGGGGACACCCTTGTCCCCCGCTCCAGCTGTGGGCAGTGGTGCATCTGAGGTAGTCATGAACACTACAGGACAAGAAAGCAATGGATGGGCGAGCCATGTGAAGTAGGGAGAGGCTTTAGCCCAGGAAGATCAGAGTATAGGCTGAGGTCTCTGTTCCTAATGGGAAGGTACAGGGGCCACTGGTTCCTGGGCAGCACTCTGAGGGACCATCAAAGCCTGAAGGGAATCCAGTGCCCCAGGGAAGTCTCACTACTCCAGTGAGGTCCATGCTGTAACTGAAGGGGTGCTGGCCTGAAAAGCATTTCCCTGTTGGTCATGGACTGGCCTAATCATGTTGTTAGTGTGTCATGATGCAGTAATAGGCATCATGATAAGTAATAACATTACCACTGCCAAGTGATACGGGCTAGTTCTAGGTATGAGGGATTCAGCAAACAGTGAAAAAAATACACGCACAACTAGCTTCATGTTCAAGATCTGATCTACAGATGTTGTCTCCATTGTTAGACTGTAAGCTCTCTGAGGGCAGGGATCATCTACCTTACTTTTGCATTTGTATCCCAGCACCTAGTACAATGGGCACAGAGTAGGAGGTGCTGAATACTTTTTCATTTGTTCATTTATTCATTGTCCCTAAATACCTCCTAGCAGGTATCCTGTCTATCTTCAACACAGCTGAGGAAGTAAAAAACGCAACAGGCTCTGCGATGGGACAGAACAACTGAATTCCTCCCTAACAGGAAACCAAGCAGCTCAGAAAGCCAGGAAGGCCTGTGCTGCCTCCTGGCCTGGAATCAAAGCACCCTGGTTTCCGTATCCTATCCCTGAACCCCAATGAATACAACAGTTTCCAGTTCAGCAGCTGGAGAAGGTGAATCAGTGGCCAGCAGAGTGTTTCTCTGATGACCCGAGAGCCTGCTGGCATAGTCCAACTTTTTAGCTTCCTTTCTTCACAAAAATCATTGATCAGTAAGTAGGCAAAGGTCCCCAGGCATCTAAACAAACAGCTAAGATCCCCCTGGCTCTTCACCAAGGGACATTAAGAGATAAGATGGTACCAGTGACTTTACCAGGGCTTTCGGCTTGATGAAAGGATCAAAGGGATTTCTTCCTCATTCCTTCTTGCTCTATCTTGGATTTAATACTGGTGTTTTGGCCAGAATTCAAGGAGTACACAAACACAGCCCATTTAGTACTTATATCAGTGCAGAACTAGTCCGAGAAAGAGCAGAGATTCCAACTGGTGAAGGTCTTTAAGCAAGGACCTGTTGGCTTGGCTGAGAGGATCTCGTCAGTCCCTCCCAGCACCAAGACTCTCTGGAATCTATACCTCTATTATCTCCTGGGTCAGGGTCGCTAGAGTCATAAGGCTTAAGAGACGGAGAGATGTGATTGGCTTTTGGCACGGTATCCTTATACTACATTAGAGGAGCTCATGACGAAGCAGAACCAAGGGTAGAGATTTCTGTAATCCACAACTCCATTCTATCAATTGACTTCCTTCTTAAGCTCAGTCCATACTGCATGTTAACAAGTGTCAAGATGGATTTGTGGGGACAGCTTCAATTTTCTGCTTAGACATTAACCACATGTCCATACTGTAGACATGAGATGGACATCCGTAATGACTGTACCAAGTTTCTGATCTGCAAATACTAAGACATTTTGGTTCTACTGCTTTGGTCTTCAGTAGACTGGAGTTCAGTTGGGATTACAGGGTAAATATCTGAACAAGCTTGCAGCTGAAAACCATATTTAAGATATTGAACTAAAATGTTTTGCCCTTAAAAAATAAAGTCACTTGCTGAGGTCCCCTACCCAAAGAAGCAGGGAAGTCAGCATGCCCCAAAGGATGCAATTCCATAGACAGCTGGGGTAGAAGAAAACTGCTCTGGAGGGGAAGGAGAAGCACAAGCTAAAAAGCTTCCCCAGTCTCCAGACTTCCGACTTCTATTCAGATTGTAGCCCAACATGGAAGAAACGGCGGTTGTTCCAAAGCTGTTCCACGTTCCTGGAAAATTCTAGGATCTGGCTGTAAACAATACAACTAAGTTGTAAAGATCCAGAGACAAGCCAAATCTTCTCTCTTGACGTTGGTCGCTAAAAATATTTCACTGTAAACCTGTTTCATCAAAGCTCAGGCATATCTACTGGTTTCCTGACATTTAACAACTGCCACAAATACAGAAAAAGGAAAGACGTTTTAAGTCAGAGGGAAGGTAGGAGTGCTTGTAACTGGTATCCTTTCTATTAGTGGCTGAGGAAACAAGCATGGAGTTGAACAGGTTAAAACTCTATTATAAAAATAGTCTTCACTTCCACTACCTTGTTAAGGAAACAGTACAGCCTGCAGAGAACACACAGGTCATACATAGGAAACAGTCCATCATGGCTCACCAGAGCAGCAGTTTCCAAAGTGAACTTAACCTTCAGTGTTCTTTCGAACTGATAATAATTTGCCTTCTCTAACCTCTTAACCCTTGAATCAACCGAATGCTCCTTTTTTAAAATTTCTAATGGACGGTGGGGATGAGGGTGCGAAGTTTGAAGCACTTGAAGATGAAATCTCTTCCTTTTGGTTCAATCTTGCACCTGCCATGTTCCAAAGAGAAAAGTCCCTACCACCCACAGGTGTGGGACATCTTAAAGGCATAGCAGCCTATGTGGACATAATGAGGGCTGTAAAGAAATTATGCCAAGCAGGTAGGATGGACTGTGGAAAGTAGCTAACCAGACCATCTGCTTCTTTATAAGAGTTAATTTACAAAATATTCTGGTATCCTCAAAGATCAGATACTTTTGAGTCACTTCTATAAAAATTTGTGAGTGCCAAGGAGAAAAAAAGCCATCTAAATTCTTCTGTAAATATGCTTTAAACCAATGAAGTGTTCCAGATCCAAGTACAAAGCTAAACACACAACCAATGGGTCCTTAACCCTGTGCTGCTGAAGACAATATTTATAAGTTCAAATATTTTTGAAAATACTGAGTGCTCTCTCCGTGGGATGTTTGAAGTACAGTGCCTTGGAACTAACCTGAAACTCAACAACAGGTGTTTCATTCTAACAAGAACAAGAGATGGAGAGAGGAGAGCAAGAAGCAAAAGGCAGAACTGGGGTTGGATTGACAGGTTTTTTGGAGAACAGAAGAAAGGAAAAGGTTGTGGGAGCAACATTCTTCACTTTGTCAAGTTCAGCCTGGCCTTGGGTATGTGGTCTTTTTAAGGGTGCTGATTTTCAGGGGAGTTTGTGTCCAGTCTGACTACACAGTCAGTATATCCATTGGTGGCCCAGTCTGTGAACACTGTGTGATTGTGGACTCACTCTGAGTCATCCGGGGTGACGATGACCCAGTCCAGAAGCTCCCCGTCCCCGTGGGTCTTCTGGCTGCCCCCATCACTTGTGGAGAAGTTTGGTTACTCAGTTCTGGCAGGCTGAAGTCCTGATAAGAACACGATCGTTTCTGCCCAGACCAGATCTTTATCTGTGTCATATCATTTGATGCCTGGAGGTTGAACAGAAGCGAAAATCCAGGGTGAAGCGCTATGGAACAGAGTCACAGATTCCTTTGGCCTTTGCTCACTCTTGCATATGCCATGTTTCCAGGTGAAAACGTGCCGTGCCCACTGGGTGTGAGGCCCACAGCTGCTCAGGATTTTTCATGAGAACCACAGGATTCTAAGAAAGCCTCCCTCAAGGGACAGAATGTCAGTGAGCCTTGAGCGGGCACTGCTGGCCTCACCAACCACTGGTCCATCATGAGGTAACTGCTGGCTGACTTGGCTCGGGGACGACAGGAAGCGTTCTGTTGCTGCAAAGTTCCATGCATGGTCTGCACATGTCTTTACCTGGCAGTCCACTTCTTTCTATCACACTTACTGTCACCCATTCTTGCTTAGCAAAGACAAACTCTACTTGGACACAAGTGCTTGGGCTGCACATACGGTGACAAAGCTCACAGGGGATCCTCCTGCAGCCAGTGCTTCCCGACACCCACGTCTGCAGGCTTAGGCGCCGGATGGTCGCAGAGGGTTCTGGTGGTGACAAGATCCAAACATTTGGGCTCCGAGCTTGTCAGGAGACATGGGGATCACTGGTGCATCACTGCAGGAAATGGCCAATTCAGAGACTTGAAATTCTCTGCCTGGGGTTCATTTCGATATCGTGTGTGCAAGGGTCCGTTTCATGGGAAGAGCTATACTATGTTCTCTGCTCCAGGGAGGGGCCCCTGTGGGGGACCATGGTCCTGCTTACTGTGCAGTTGGGCCAACTGTAGAACAGGCATGTTGCAGAGGGGGCACACTTTTCGAACTTCCAGCCACTTAATGAGGCACCTGGAAAGTGAAAGACAAAGGAGGAAGGGAGTCATCAGTGTCCTGTGCTGTATGTAGCAATCCCTTCATTATGCCAAGGAGCTCACTGCCCATTTCTGGTTTTTCTTTTTTTTTCCTTTTTTTTTTTTTGTGCGGCAGTTGGGGTTAAGTGACTTGCCCAGAGTCACACAGCTAGTAAGTATCAAGTGTCTGAGGCCGGATTTGAACTCAGGTCTTCCTGACTCCAAGGCCTGAGCTCTATCCATTGCGCCACCAAGCTGCCCCTCACTGCCCATTTCTGCAGGGTGTCTTTTCCTTTATGTGCAGGTAACACCCTTCAAAATCCACATACATTTATTACTTACAGTATTCACACTGAAGAGAATAATGAACAATGTGTGAGTCTTGGCTTATTGGAATTTGATAGGTAACAGCCGAACCTCGACAAGGCTGAAGAAACTGTGCTTGTCCCTTCTGAAGGATTTCTCAGGGCTTCAGTTTGGGGTCAAGGCAGGTCCCTACATTCTATGTGACTCCCCTAGTGACAGGCCCTGGGCTGCTACATTACACAGACAGTAAGTAAGCCCCTGAGATTTCACCTTCCCTGGACCTCTTCTAGTGAAAGTCTATATTCTGTTGGTGGTATTCTTTGTCACTCAATATTACTTAAAGGAATATGTAGTCTCAGAAGGTGAGAAAGTAGGAGAATTAACTCTTCTTATAGAAAAATAGAGCAAATTTGGTTTTACTAGGGCTAATACAAGGGACCTCAGGAAGATGCTTCCAGGAAAGAAAGGAGGACAACAAGAAAATGATTATATCTTGCCAAGCAAAACTCCAGATTCTGATTTAAAATCATACTGTGTAGCACACTCTGACTATAAGATTATTTTAGGAGATATGACCTCAAAATAGAAAGCTCCAGTGACATGGTTTTCTGCTGGGCTGGCTTCAACCAGGGCAGAGGTATACAAGTGGCTAGATTGACTACCTGCTCCTGGAGAATGGCCAATACATGTTTTCTTTCCACTCTCATACTATAAGCTAGACTTTGTACCCTAATTGGGAAGATTACTATCAACTGGGAACCTTTGCTTTCCAAGTGCGGGAAATAGTCAATGAAGACAAAAGTCTTGTCACTAGAGGCCAGACTGAGTGAGCTAGTCAATCTGGGTTATCTTCCTGCTTCCAAATGCCCACATTGTTCTCCATTAAGATGGTTCTAATAGTAAATGAGTTTGCTGGGATTTAAGACACACAGCTCAAATTAAAAGGGGGAAACCAAGGTAATGTGTTTGATCCTGGTCAATGCCTTTAGTGTAGAGGGGATACATAGAAGCATTTGAACCTATTCCATACAGGACCTTAATTTCAAATTGAACAACAGTATATCCTGTCACCAGTGAAAGCCAGTAAATATACCGTAACATTGAAATACCTCCATACTTACTTCCTGTGGAAGGCATGCTTACATGGACAGATCCCCAGTTCATCTTTGGGCTTGAAATCTTCCAAACAAACTGCACAGATCTGAAAGAAACACTCCCGAGTGAGAGGAAGCTATTGCTAGAAACACTCTAGCACGTGAACAGCCAAGCCCAGGCCAGGGGTTATGTGATACCCTCCAGGGCCTCACACCTGTTGGGCCCATTGCATCTCCCTCAGATGTGACTGTCTCTCAAACAGGACAGTAGCTTTGGAAAAACAAAACACAAAACACCAGATACCACAAGTCAGTGAATACCCCAGGTGATAGCTCAGAGCCGGATTCTTTGATATATCTGGCCTGCTCCTGCATATCTAGGCTGTTCATATACCACAGTTTAACTACAGGTAGACCCTGAAACAAGGCGTGTAGCTCATCTCGGTTCCTGAGAATGTTCTTCTGTGGCCATTTGCTAAGCACTTTACAAATATCTAATTTGATTCTCACAACAGTCCTGTGAGGTAGGTGCTCTTACCTGAGGCAGATTAACTAGTGTCTAAAGCCAGATCTGAACTCGTCTTCCTGCCTTCAGGCCCAGCTAATTTATACAGTCTTTGATTCAGAGCCATTGTGATTAAGAAAGTTCTGAAAACATGACTGAAACACTAGGCAGCATTCTCCACCACGTTTGTGGCATTCTCTTGGGCTAACCTTGAGGGTCAGGCTGTCTTAGGCCTGGCTCTGGCTCCCGGCGAAGCCACCTTCTTATGCTTACCTTTCCTCACCAGGAGCACTCAGGGGACTAAGAGATGGTGTGACATAAACACAGTGAAGAGAAAAGCTCAGTGTGTGAATCTGACCACCACGATCCCCCTCCTCAGTCCCCTTAGTTCAGCTGCTTGCTCTGCTGGGGAAGGCAGCCAAGAATCCCCGGCAGAGAACTTCTAAATTTATACGCCAAGTTTCCACTGCAGATCATCCGAGAGCTTCGCGTGGAAGGGCTCATCAGCAGGCCACTGGCACCTCCTCTGTGCAGCGGGCACTGGGGATGCACGGAGGGCGGCCCAGCCAAGGCTGTAGGAGCACATGCTATTTTTAAGGCAGCATGTGAGGTTTTCCAAGTTCACGGGAAAAGGCTGCTCACGCACAAGGGACGTGGACTCGGTCTCTCCTTTCTGCTAGTCCTGCTGTGATATGGAAACTCTAAAAACAAGGCATCGGCCTGTAGTAAAATGCTATTTATAACCACTGGCGACTCTCGGTTTGGCATCACCCTAGGGCTGTCAGCACCTATTTTCATCTGACATTAAAAAAAACAACGTATCTGAAAAAGTTACTGAATGAATGCTCAGGAAAGCATCCCATGAAGTGAGGCCTGGCTGAGGTGAAAAGGGGAGGTTTCCACAGCCATGTGTGTTTCAGGAAGAGGCAGCATCCTGGGTTGCGGCCCGTGGGTGGATGAGTCTCCTCTCTGTGGGTCAGTACTGGCCCCAAAGCTGACTGCGAGGCCAGGGAAGGACCTCTAAAAACAGCTTTCCCATGCAAGGGTCAGGTCTCAGCCACACATGCTGCTGCTGCTTCATGCCGGGGCCTTTTTCAGAGTAAGTGAGGCCTTTGGGTTTTGGAGAAACCCTAACCATTCTCCCTTCTGAAGGCCTTGGGTCTTAAAGCCTACAGCCCCAGAGCGATGTAGTTATCAGTACCTCTTCCATGTCGATAATGTGAGCCACTCCTTATACACTTTGAAACATATTAGGAAGTGTAAATACTCGGATATACCTTCAAAGCATGAGGCAGCTGACTTCAGAGTCAGAGGACCTGGGTCCAAATCCTCCCTCTGCCTCTTATGACCTGTGTGACCTTGGACAAGTCATTTACCTTCCCCAAGCCTCAGTTTCTCTAGGAGTATTGGATTAGATGGTTCCTGAGTCCCTTCCAATTCTGGAACTATGCTCATATGAAACTGGGTGGAGGGGGAGGATATGAATTCAAGGCGAGGAACCAGATCAAAGATCTCCAGCTTCTCATCGAAGCATCCACTCGATGGCTTCTCCAAACCCTGATCAGACCAGCAACAAGTCTGCTTCCAAAGAGGATGTCAAGTTTCCGGGGGTAAAAGCATCAATGTTGGTGAACTTTGGATTTTCTTCTTCTTCTTTGGGGATACTCTGGCTCACCTTAGTCCTGATTTAGAGTAATACCCTTTCCAACTAAAAAGAAAGGGAAAGAAACTGTTTCTAATCCTGTGTTATATTTACAGGGCACGGGGACTGCGCCTATGTCATCACTGGTCTAGAAAGCTCTTGGAGAGCCCCGCAGCTCAGAGGCCTCAGTGGTGAAGAGACCTTCACAGACTCACAGCCAGGACGGGTCAGAGGCAGGGCTTAAACTTTTCCAGGCTGCCTCTGTTGTACATGTACGTACATATGTGTCTGTATGTATGTGTATGTGGGACTACTGACATACAGACTAATCCTATTATTTGTTAGCTTTGTTATTTCCTGTAAGAAAATATTACTTCAGGGGCAGCTGGGTGGTGCAGTGGATAGAGCACCGGCCCTGGAGTCAGGAGGACCCGAGTTCCAATCTGGCCTCAGACCAAAGACTCGACACTCACTAGCTGTGTGACCCTGGGCAAGTCACTTAACCCAAATTGCCTCACAAAAAAAAAAAAGAAAGAAAAAGAAAAAACCAAAATATGACTTCAGATGGATCAGTCAAATGACCTTCATTTTGCTGACCAGGATGCTAAGGGGTGGGAAGGTTCAGAGACCTTCCCCAAACATTGGAATGACTCCATCCTTACTCTAAGCAGGCCAAGAAGGACTTCTGGTTCTTCATCTAGTCCTCTGTCCCTAAAATCCAACTCTCCCAAACACAGACAGACATTCTCTAGGGATACTTCCATCCTCGGATCCTCCTGCTGGGATGTCAGCCCCAGGGATCACCATTCTTAGATCTAACACGTGGGTAGTTTCCTCCTGATCTTAGAGCACGTGCAACTTCCATCTTTTAGGACTCGTTTCAGACACACGGCTGCCGAGGTGACAGGAGCTGGAAGAGGCCAGCTAAGGGAACTGAGGCACAGAGGGGAAGAGTCAGTGCCAGAGGCACGTGCTCAGACTCCAGGTCCAGGCCACACTCAACTGTATCACTAGCTCCAAGGTTTAAATGAAAATATTTATTAATTCACTCAGTTTGTATTCCCAAACTGATCTTCCCCTTGAAAAACTTAAACAACTTCTGATCAGCAATGCTTCCTCTAGTAACTCTCAAAGTGACAAAACATGTTAGACAATGTTCACACTCCCAACACAAATAAACCCCAACAGGCTTATGAACATACAGGTCAAGATTTGTGATTCAACACATAGACAATGCTGAGGGGTCACTGCTGCTTCCGATATAAATGCATTCTTAACAAAACAAGTCTTTTCCAATGAGCACTGACAAGATGACTGTGCGTGAAAGTCAGCGCCGCGCAGTGTCCACCACATACGATAGGTTTCCAATGATGGCCCAGTCTTCCTTATTCCGAATCTTGGGCATAGCTATTGGTTCCACCCTTCTGCTGGCCTAGAGAGCTCAACTCAAATACCCCTGAAGACCTCCAGCATGTCTGGCCCCTCACGGACGGTACGGCATTAGGCCGCCAGCATGGCTGGGCTTGAACTCAGGTCTTCCTGGCTTTGAGGCCAGCTCCTCTTCCACGGCATGCTGCCCTCCTACTGACCACTCTCATTTACATGGTTCTTTAGAGTTTACGCAATGCTGCCTCATGTGAACCCCAGGCAAACTGGACTGCTTGCAATCTCTCACACGCTATCCAGCATCTCCCATTTTTGTGCCTGAATGAGGATTTGAACCTAGGTCTTCCTGGCTTCGAGGATCTCTTCCCTGTGGCAGGCTGGGAGTAAATTTCAGAGTTGAAAAGGACCTTGGCAGCCGGGTCTAAGCCAGACATGAAGGAATCCCCACTATATCATACATGACAAGTGGTCCTCCAGCTTGAAGACCTTCAGGCCTGGTGGGACAGCTCAATGCAATATGGACAGTTTTCATAGTTACAAGTTTCTTCTGACATCAAGCTGAAACGTACCCCTGTGCAACCTCTACCATTCCTTCTGGTTCTGCCGGATACAAAAAAGTCCAAAAACATTCCCTGCCCTCAAGGAGCTCATGATCCAATGATGGAGATAACATGCAAACACATACAGATCAAGGTATATACAAGATAAATAGGAAATAATTAACGGAAGGAAGGGAGAACCTTCTTGTAGAAGGGGGGATTTTAGTTGGAAGCCAAGAGGTCAGTAGTTGGAGTAGAGAAGGGAGAGCGTCCCAGGTCTGGGGGATAGACAGAAAATGCCCAGGGTGAGAGATGGAGGGTGTTGTCTGTGGAAGAGCCAAGAGGCCTCTGTCACTGGACCAAAGCATATGTGTTAGGGAGGAAGGTGTAAGAAGACTGGCAAGGTAGGAGGGGGACTGGATTAAACACCAAAGTTTTAAACACCAAACACAGTATTTTGTGTTTGATTCTGGTGGCCACAGGGAGCTACTGGAATTGACTGGGGGGAGAGGAAGGGTGTGTGACCCGATGAGACCTACACTTTAGAAAAAACACTTTGGCTGCTGAATGGTGGAAGAACTGAAGTGAGGGAGAGACTTGAAGCTGGCAGACCGAGCATTAGACTATTGTAAGAGTCTAGGCATGAGGTGCTGAGGGTGGAGGCAGCGTAAGAGGACAGAAGGAATCATATTTGAGAGATGTTGAACAGGTGAAATCAACAAGCCTTGGCAACAGCTTGGAGGAGTCTGGGATGACTCCCAGATTGTGAGCCTGAGGCAGTGGGAGGATGGTAGTGCCTTCCACACTCATAGGGAAGGTAGGAGGGGGAGAGATGAGCGAGAAAGATAGTGATGTCTCCTTTGGACACGTAGAGAGATGCCTACAGGTCATTCAGCTGAGACATCTGAAAGGCAGTTGGGGATGGGAGGGTGAAGGCAGATCTGATTTCTCCTCAACGCTATGGGCTTTCCAATGTGTGGAGCAGCTCTCCTGTTCCCCCCCCCCCCCGAGACACTTTATTTCAGGCTGATAGGCTCAGGCCCTTCAACCAGCCTTCACAGGGTGGACTCAGGTTCTCTCCCTATACTGGTGCTCTTTGGATACCCTCCAGCTCTTCGATAATCTTCAAGGGAGGCCCCCTGAACTGAACACCACCCTCCAGATGAGGTCTGATAAGACACTGGGATGGTCACCTGCCTCTTCCTGGAAGCCCTGCCTCTCTTAATTCAGACCAAGATCGAATATGCTTTCTTGGCCACCATACTGCCTTACTGACACCTATGGACCTTGTAGTCCACTAAAAAAACTCTAGATCTTTTTCAGAATTCTTAACTCACCATGTCTCCCATCTTATGGTTATGAAGTTGATTTTTTGTGCCCAAGTATAAAACTTGACATCTAACCCCACTGAATTTCATTTTCTCGCATTCACCTTAATGCTTTAGTTTGTCAGAATGCACTGTATTAGTTCTCCCTTCCAGCTCTGTGTCATCTGCCAATGTGAGAAACACAGCATCCGTGCCTTTATTCAAGTCACTGATGATAGTATTAAACTGCACAGGGCCAGCACAGGTCCCTGAATTACTCCCTTGGAGACTTCCTGTCAAGGGGTCATCAAACCATTAACAGGTACTCTAGAGTCTGGCCAACCAACCCGTTTTGAATCCATCTGACTGTATTGTCATCTTGAATCCATATTTTTCCATCTTCTTCAAAAGAAAAGCATAAGATACTTTATCCAAATTTTTGCTGCATTCCACTCTTTTTTTTTTTAAAGGCAATTGGGGTTAAGTGACTTGCCCAGGGTCACACAGCTAGTAAGTGTCAAGTGTTTGGTCTGAGGCCACATTTGAACTCAGAGCCTCCTGACTTCAGGGCCGGTGCTCTATCCACTGCGCCACCTAGCTGCCCCCATCTCATCTGATTAAGCTTAGTAATTCTGTCAAAAAAAGAAATGAGGTTAGTCTGTCATGAACTCTTCTTGATGAAGCCAAGCTGGGCTTTGCAATCACTACTTCCGTTTCTGGGTGTTCACCAACCATCTCTTTGTTGAACTGCTTAAAAGCAATCAGTAGCAAAAATTAGTGAAAAAATTAAAACGTGAGTATAGATGAACATAGATGTGAGTATAGATGAAAACCCAGAAAAACCCCAGGTAGCTCTATCCACTGCATTCGAAACAGACTGTCCTTGTCTAACCACTTGATCTAAGTCCTTGAGCCAAAGAGAGGAAAGGCTGGCTATACTCTGCCCTGGGGCTAAAGTCACCCGATGATTCTCAGACTCAGACATTACAGAACTGTGGTTCAACTGCTTACTGGTTTCAGTATCAGTATTAAAACGACATTCAATGTTTAACCATCTTGCTTCGTTGGTAAGCATTTAATCAGCCACAGGGTGCCAAGCACCGTTCAAGGCATTGTTTTGTTAAGCTACAGGAATGCACACAGGAAAACACTCTAGTACAAGACTCCTGCCACCAAGAAATCCAAAGAGAATGGAGCCAACGAAGGTCAAGAAGCTGCATAATGGTCTCTGGGAAAAGACTGCAAATAAAGCAAGGGTGGTTTTTCGCTGCTAAGACTTCAAGTTATGAGTCACAGATAGGTCAGCAGCATCAGTAGGGCAAAGGAAGGGGGGGGGGGATATTTGTCAGGCTGATCCCAACAGAAGGCAATGAAAGGTAGAGATCCTAAGCAGGAGCCGTGTCACAGCACTGGGCACTGTAAGAAACAAGCCTCTTTCTGTTCCTAGAGAACCTGAGATTCAACACTGTCATCGCCTGAGTCTGAAATCACAACTTATAACTCATGGTCTTACAGAGGGCTTTAATATCAGATGCAGGCTCTTGGGTTTGGAAAGGTTAAATTCCAGCAAAGATCAATGCAATGCTCAAACATAAGTCTGTTTTACCCAGCATTAGGTCTGAGGTACTGGGAAATAACTGCGTAAGAAGAGCTCTTTGATAAAGGAATCTGGGTAAAGGAAAAGGGAATTTCAGAGTTTACATGACTAGGTTTAGATTACTCAGGAAGACCTGGGTTCAAATCCTGCTTCTGACACCTACTGGGTATGTGATGCCAAGCAACTTAACCTCTCAGTGCCCCTGAAAACTCTCTAAAATTATAAATTGCAGAAGAATTGGCTATCTGTGCTAGGAGGGGAAGTTTCCCCCTCTGAGAACTTATAACAATGACATCACAGGGCTGACCCCACCCCAAATACCAAACCCCCAAACCCTATTAACTAAAAACATCTCGCAGATAATAACGCCCTTTGTAATAACAGATTTAAAATCCACGCCCCACTGTGAAATCCTAAAACTCACTCTCACGTCATCTGGCTAACTGCCCATTTTGGAAGCCGCATTATCAAATTAACTGTTTCTAAATGTTGTTTCCCTTCATCTTGTATTTCTTTAGGACCAAATAAGTCCCATAAAGATACGCCTGTCGTTGTGGGTAACACGGAGGAGAGGAACAACACAACAACCCTTACAAATAAGAAGTTATGGTCAGAGTTTTATAATAAACAGGCATCTTAAAAAACCCAACCCAACAAGTTGTGCTTTTGCCTAACTCCTCCCTCATGCCACACATCCAGGCAGATGCTGGATGTGGTTCTGAACTCCACAGCCTCTCTCCCATGCCCCCCTTGCTCGGGCCCTTGTTGCCCCTCTCCTGGACTATTAGAATTGGCTCCTTGGCTCCCCCGCTTCTCGTCTTCCCCCTTGTTAATCCTGCTTCCACATACCTGCCAGAGCAGCGGTCTAACACCGTCGCCGACCCTGCCCTAGGATGTGTCCCGGCGGCTCCTTGTTGCCCCTTAGAATAAGAATACCAACTCTACTTTGGCGCTGAAAGCCCTTCACAACTGGATGTGCAGGCCTGACTGTGCCTTAGTTGCCCTTCTTGCCCATCGGAGGCCAGCTAGCCTCCTGCACCTTCCACCTGACATTCCACCTCCTGTCTCATGCCTTTGACCAACTACCCCTTGGCCCAACATGCACTGCCCGCTCACTTCCGTTTCTCCTCCTCCAGGAGGCCTGCCTTGATCCTCCCAGGTGCTAGTGCCTCTCCATAAAAACGACCTCATGTTTACTCCACATGCACTTGCAGGCACGCTGGACACGTGGAAACTCCTGGAATATGGAGACCATTTGGACTCTGTTCACCCTCACTCCTTCCCAGGCCAGAATCTGACCTCTCTGGCCTTTCTGCACGCCACGCAGCAGGCTCTATCCTTTTTCCCTTCCTTTCTACTTCTTTCTGTGCTGTCTTCCCTATTATAATGGAAGCTTCTTGAGGGCAGGGCTTATTGTGCTTGCATTTTTGCACGTCTGACACTTGGCAGAGTGCCTGGCACACTTGCTAAAATGCATATTCATTTAGTCACTCATTCTGTGCAGTGCCTGACGCATAACTGGCCCTCAAGAAATAACCTTCAATTGCATTTTACAAAGTTAAACAGTTCAACTGAACACAGACTACAAGAGGTTGGACAGAACATGTAAATTCTTGGCACACATTTTAACAATTCAATTCAACAATCATTTATGGCATACCCATCATATGTGCCAGGTGCCAGGTATATCAAGACAAGCCACCATCCTCTAAGCTCCCACATTCTACAGGGTGGAAACAACACCCTGTACACAGCTAAGGTTATACGAGACACACTTAAGCCAGTCCAACAGATCTCTGACGTCTTTGATTCAGGATGAACCCTGTTATGGGACTCTTGTCCGTGTGCAGCCCACTGTTCACTGCAGATCATCCATCTAACTAGAAACCTCCCCTGCTTTCTCCTGACAACAGGAGGGCACTGGTGGAGCTTTCTGGCTATCCATTGGCTCCTCCTCCCTCTTGCAATGTGACCAGTCCAACTGCTCACTGTTCTTTGGAGTTTCTCACTGGTTCCTTCCATTGCCCTGTGCGGGATACTCACATTGGGTTTTTGGAGGTAGTGCGCACCATGTCCCACTGCTATATAAGTAATACCAGTAAAATGTCAGTGTTGAAAAGAAGGACCTTTGTTTTATGGGCAGCTTGGGGTCTGTAAAAGAGCTCGGCAATCTCCTAAAAGCAATCTAGCTGCTATCTTCTTCCTCTTCATTTCGCTGTCTATCAGTACGGTCTGTCCCACACAAACCCTATAGAGTGTCCAAATTTCTGCCGAAATCTGGGCAATAGACATTCTTCATCCTTTTTTTTTTCCTATTCTGTAGGGAGGGACAGGCCAAATTCTTTTGAGGGCTTACAGATCTCTTCTAAGAGGATCTGAAATGTCTGGGGGCCAAAATGCCATCTGCAAACACCCACACAATGATATCACTCAGGGCTCCTTGGAAGATCTAAAAACAGAAAAAGCCCTATTAAATGAGGTGAAGCATAAAACAGGGAGATGTGAGCTTACTGAAGGTATTCACCACCATTACGGAAGAGATCCAGGAGAGCACAGCAGCAAGACTGAGGCAGGGGTCCTTGTGGGGGATCAGGTCCTTAAGATATGAAACACATGCAGCATAAACAGAGTAATATCTGGAGTTGAGGGAGAATGCATGCCACTGGGAAATCAGAAAAGGTTTCCTGGAGGAGGTAGTATCGGAACTGTGCTTTGAAGAATGCTAATGAGTTACAGATTTAAAAAAATACCATGCTGGAATCTCCTAGCTTGTATGATTTCTGAGGTAGTACTGAGAAATTTAGGATCAACCTTGAGTAACAAGCAGAGATTTTCTAGCTAGTAAAAAAACTGGTTTGTTGAAAAGTAACCCCAGCTTATCCTGTACAACCAACAGTCTTTGATTATTACCTAGGCATGCTGTCATTCCATCAGGTGACACGGCCCTCCATGGAATGCCAGGTGACTGAAATCTGTTTATTCATTCCCTTTTCTTTCTTTTTTTTTTTTATATTATCAGTTCTGAATTCTCTCCTTTCTTCAGCTCCCACCCACCCATTAAAAAGGCAAGAAATATGATACCTATTACACATAGGAAGTCATGCAAAACCTATTTCTACATTAGCTGTGCTGCAGAAGAAAAAAACAAGAAAAACAAAGTAAAAGAAAACATGCTTCAGTCTGCACCCAGAATTCGTCAGTTCCTTTTCTGGAAGTGGATAGTATTTTTCATCCTGGGTCGTTTGGAACTGTTATGGATCACTGTATAGATCACAGTAGCTAAGTCATTCACAGCTGATCATCACATAACATTGCTGTTACTGTGTACAATGTTCTGGTTCTTCTCAATCCGCTTTTCATCAGCTCGTACAAGTCTTCCCAGGTTTTTCTGAGAGCATCCTGCTTGTCATTTCTTATAGTACAACGATATTCCAACTCAATCATATGCCACAACTTGTTCAGCTATTCCCCAACTGACAGGTGTCCCTTCAATTTCCAATTCTTTGCCACCACAAAAAGGAGCTATTATAAATATTTTGTACATATATGTCTTTTTCCTTTTCCTTTGATCTCTTTGGGATACAGACTGACTAGGTATTGCTGGATCAAAAGATATGCCCAATTTGATTGCCCTTTGAGCATAGTTCCAAATTGTTCTCCAGATTGGTTGGATTAGTTCACTAATCTACCAACCGTGCATTAGTGCCCCAGTTTTCTCACATCCCCTCCAACATTGGTCATTTCTCTTTTTTGTCATGTTAGCTAATCTGATAGGTGTGAGGTAGTACCTCAGAGTTGTTTTAATTTGCATTTCTCTAATCAGTAATGATTTAGAGCATTTTTTCATATGACAATTGATAGCTTGGATTTCTTCTTTTGAAGACGCCTATTTGTATCCTTTGACCATTTGTTAATTGGAGAATTTATCCTTCTTTTTCCCATTGGCTCTTTTCTTCTTATTAATCTCTCTTTCATTCTCTTTCCCTTTAGTTACTTTCTTATCCATCTTGCTTCCAAACCAATAACATCTGATTATGAAATAATGAGAAAATAGCAAGACATGTAAAGTAGAAAAAGTTCGAAATTCACCTCTGATTCATGTCAATTAGTGTGATGAGAAAAACATATCAAATGCTTTAGCATAGAGCCTGGCACACAGTAGGCACTTAATAAATGCTGACTGATTGAAATGCTTTCTCTAGTGCTATACACCTAAGGGATTCTCTGTTAATATAAAATGATTTATCTCAAAGGAGTATACAGTGGCTTTCAGATTATAAGCTCACCAGTCTAGTGACCACCTTTGTTAATTTTAAGAATTGTGGAAATGAGGCTTTTAAAATCAGTTTGTTTATCCAAATATGCTGTATTACAAACAATGGGCAGTAGATCAGAGTTCTGGGAAAATAACAATAGCAACTATAATGATGATGATGATTATAGGTCACATTTATGTAGCATCTTAAGGTTTGCAAATTAACTTTCCAAATATTATTTCACTGGATCCTTACAATGATCCTGAGAGGGACGTACTATGATCATCCCATTTTGTAGATGTTGAAACTGAGGCCAAGAGATGTTAAGTGATTTGCCTAGCTAGCGTCTGAGGGTAGACACTCTGGTCTAACTCAGGGCATCCTGACAGGGTACTGTGCTACCTGGCTGCCTAATTTCCTGTTATGAGAGAAATAAGTTATGCTCTATAGTGTTTATTCAGGGAAGAAAACTACTATTTTGTTTTTTAAAAGATCTCTGATATGACATGCATGGAGAAAATCCTCAGCTGTTACACGTCTTGTGGGGAACAAATCAGCCAGACTTCACAACATGCTTTAGTCGAGTGTATTATTACATTATCTATCGACTGACCAAGGATTTAAAGGAGATGTAGAATACAGGCGTGACAAGAATTCCTGAGTGTATTTAGTGGTGGGAGGGTAATGCTAATAAAGTGAGCATGAGCATTCCCTTGTGGGCCAGCTAACTTCTCTCTGTTCCGTGGCCACCAAATCCATCCCTTTGCTCTGGTCCTCCCCCAACATTTGTCTTTGCTCATAAGCAACCGCAGGTAAAACTGCATAAAGGAATCACTACCAAGCCATCACAAGTGGGAAGGCAGATTTGAGTTCAGCCCTGGCTGACAGTGAAGGTACTGGCCTCCAAGTTACCTCCCCCAAACTGTCGAATGCTTTCTTAGAGGCAAGTCAGGGGACCCAGCGGTATGAAGCCCATTAAGGACTGCCATTCATGCTGCCAGAACAAGAGTGCTCATAGTTAATTAACTGCCACATAAGATTCACTACTCACCTCATGCAAATTCAGTTCTTTAACTTTTTCTTTTAATATAACCTGAAAAACAAAAGCCTAAGTTTTTATGCTGATCTGTTTGTGTTCTCAGACTTCGTTGTTATTCTGTTTATAAGACTGTAATAGCTTTTCTTCTGCACAGGTACATCATTCCCCTGGAAGTTTAACTTTTATCAGAATTTTTTGTTTCAAATGAATTCACATAGCATTTTTTCTTTTTTTTTTTCACAGAGCATTTTAATTAATTACTTTATGAATCACGTTCTGAGATCCTTTACCCACTCCCAAGACAATTTAATGCTGTTTGGTCAAACAAGTTAATCTAAATGTTTCTCCTAACTGGAGGATATAAAGAAGGGACAACAGTTAAAATGAATGTCAAAATGATGAGGTCCTTTCCAACTCTACGAAACCAAAAAAGAAAGGCAGAGTAGTTTTGGGAAGGGCATCTTTTGGGGATAAAACTGGTTTTATGTTGTAGGAATTACATTTCAATTTAAAACAAAAAAGCAAGGAAATCACGTTTGAGAATAAGAATTCTCAAACTGAGGTAGATCTCTTCCCTGGTCCCACCAAAGAAGCAAAGTGACTTTTATGGTAAGTCACATTAAAAAAATGATAATCACATCCTGCCATCCTCTGCCTTGGGAATGTGCTCATGTTCTAACACTCTGTTACTAATCTCACCCCCTCAAAGCTAAGTTTACTTTCCCCTCTGGAGGCACTTTTGCTTTCTGAACGAACACAGGCCAGTTTCACTTTCTAGTGGAGCAGGCCCATACGTGGCTGGTGTGTGGATGTTCCACCTTTACAGGAGAAGGGGGCAAACAGAACATAATATTTGGGTTGTATGACTTGATAAAGTTGAAGGGCCACCAGTGCTAAGTAAAACAGCTCAGTTACTGAAGTCTCTCTTAATGTTTCTTTCACTTGCCTGCTTCTTAAACTGCTCATTTATAACACAAGAAATGTTGTGAACTTTAAACTGTTATTTTTGAAGAACCCTTAAGAATGGTTAAGGGGGGGGGCAGCTAGGTGGTGCAGTGGACAGAGCTCCGGCTTTGGAGTCAGGAGGACCTTAATTCAAATCCAACTTCAGACACTTGACCCTTACTAGCTGTGTGTAAGCAGGTCACTTAGCCCCAACTGCTTCATCAAAAAAGCAACAAACAAACAAACAAACAAACAAACAAACAAACTAACCAAAAAAATGTAAAAAAAAAAAGAATGGTTGATGGGATAAAAGACTGTTGCTAACAGGTAAAAGTACTTTTTGGGCTTTCTTGGCCAAATTTGGCAATCACCATTAACATAGAAAATGGAGAACTATTGGATTTATTGGGGCGTGGGGCTCATTTGGACAGGTCATCACTAACACTTCTCTGTTTGGCTCTCTGCTAGGTCACTTCACTGGCAAGTGATGCATAAACTGATAGATGGGTGTGGAATCTGAGAAGATAGTAATTCCTACCATGAGATGCTACATTGAAATCAAAGCCAAAATGAAGGTTTTACTGAATGGATACTAGCAAAATTGCCATTTAAAAGTCTAGGGCGTTTTAACTCTAGAAAGAGAAGCTTCTAGCGTGATTATGATCAATGCAAACCACAGAGTCCATATTAAATAGCTTCAGCTCTCATCCTTTGCCCTGCTTTCCTTAATGAGATGCCTAACAACTCTTTATGGCACTGATATCTACACACAAAATCAGAAAATGTGCCACTTAGAAATCCAGTTGAATGCTACTCAATTCACTCTTGGATGACAGAAACTTAAAGCAGTATGCACAGCATTTATATGCTTCCTTGCAAATAACTTCAAAAGGATTTAAAGGCAGACGCTGATACATATGCATTAGATTTGGGAGTGATCATAAAACAGGAAGATTATGAAGAAGCAGTTTACTTCATTCAAGGATAGTTGAATGCTGTAACACATGAAATTGTAGTTGCCTTTATATATCATTCAATAAAAATATTTTCAGGTTCATCTAAAATGCACCTATATGAATTTAACAACTTTTAGTAGGTAGTTTCTTGGTTTCTTCATACTTTCTTCAGCTCGTGCTTTTAGCCCAAACTTTCCACATTTAACTATGCTCATTACAGATATACATCTGTTTGAAATGCATAATTTTATTGCCAAATTCAAATTTATGGAACATCTACAAATGGCAATAGTAAAAAATTAAATGCAGGAACAATAGATTCCTTACCTTTAACAGAAAAGAAAGCTCACTCCAACTGGCCCAACAATTTTTTTTATCCCAAGCTGTGGTAAATTTCCTGTCACATCACTATGTTGCCTCAAAGTTCTAAGTAAAAAGGCCTGGCTTGGATATATTTATTCATAACTTTAAAACTTCAATGCTAAAATAAATAAAAGTAATCAATTGACAGGCTTTATGAGGCGATTACTCCCTGGCAGGCCTTGGCCTCAGCTTTGAGCAGCAGCAGAACAAAGCCCAGTGACTTTCTACATTTTCAGTGAAAACCCAGCACAGCCCCAAGCCGCAGCTGAGAGTACCGGCTCTCCTTTTTTAGGAAGAAACCAAATGAAAGAAAAGACAGACTACTTTTATTGTCCTACCTGTTTGTAGGCATAAAATTCTTTGTGGGCCTGGTGTCTCAGCCTAAAAGAAAAGAACAGGAAGAAGGTAAGATTCCCCATGTCTTAAAATCACAAAAAACAAACCACACACTGCTAAATGCAGGGGAGACAAATATACAAAGCAAGCTAGTCCCTGCTCTCAAGAAGCTCACCCTCTCACTGGGGAAGACACACAAATAAGGACTTTCAGCTTCAGGGCCTGCGGAAAGGCTTGGGGGCCCTTCGGGTGCATGAGCAAGGGTCAGATGGCAGCGCAGACTAGAAGGTCCAGAGGACCTTTGGACAGACTGGCAGACAAGGCAGACAGTAGGGCCTGGTAGTCCTCTATCTCCAGTAATGACTCCCAGCTCCTCCAAGCAGTGTGGGCAAGCCAGGCCTCTCCTCCAGGGTGCTAGGATGGGGTCTGGGCAAAAGGAAGGCGAAGAGGAAGAGCGTGCCCACTGGTGGTTCTTCCTACACAACAGAAAAAAAAATTGGGACTGTTCCTTGTAACAGAGATGTAATTGTCAGTGGCTCACTACCTCTGACTGTCATTCAAGGCTTTGTATAACCTGATTCCACCCTGCCTTACTTCATATTACCCCCACAATCCAGCCAAGAGGGACAGTTCTTCGCCCACAGAACGCGCACTACATTCATTTTCTGTACCTCGGATTGCCCTGTCGTTGATTACAAACCTAGCTAAAAGCATCCCCAGTCCAAAAGCCTTCCCTGATTGATGTCGCCCAGCTCACTGCTCCTTTACACAGAATGAGTGTTCAAGAGACTCCAGTTTTTGGCTCTGATGTGCTGCAAACACTCGTTGTTTTGTGACTCTGCTCTTCACGCCAATCTGACTGCACAGGCACAATGCAGAACTTTTCTGTGGCCCTTGGCAGTTTTCCAAAACCGTAAGATACATACTAGATTCCTGAAATTCCATGCACGGGGAGCCGAGTCCCAAACACACAAACCTCTTAGTTTACCAAGAGAGCGCGCTGGAGAAGTCAGGCTCCTGGCTGAGAAGCCTCTTCAGCAGAGCTCTAGTTACAACTTGGGTGTGGTGGGAAGAACAGAAGGCCTGAGCTCTGCTCCTTATGAGTCATGTGACCCTTTGAACCTCAGTTTCCTTAGGGAGTGTAACACTTGTATTATTGGACAATCTTAATATTGCATAAATGTGAATCATCATCATTTTTATTAGTCGTGTGACCTGAGGCAAATGACTTCCCCTCTATGGATCTCAGTTTCCTCATCTGCAAAATGAAGCAGTTGAACTAAATGGTCTCTTAAGATTCCTTCTAGCAGCAACATCCAATGAATCTCTAGAGGCACTATTGAAAGAAATTGTTCTATAAGGCAAAGACTCATTTTGTAATTCAAATAAGCACTCTTTAACGGGCCTGTTTGGTTTGCATTTCTGTAGACTGACTTTCTTTAGGGTAAAGATATATCTGTATTACTGTGACTTACTGTGTTTAGCACCTAGCACTCTTCATTTGAAATACATCAGCCTCTCACCTCCATAAGTATACTAGGAAATGCTTAAGAGTTGAAGAGGATTAAATTCACTTAATAAGTTAAGAATCAAAAGTGATGAATAAATTTCAATTAGACTTACAATTTTTAGTACACAATGTTTTTTTTCTGGTGAAAATGGTGAACAGACTGATAAATTCCCAAATTCTGAATTTAGCTTTTACCCTAAATACATTTTATTCTAAGTACAGTTTGTACTTCATGGTTAATGACAAGCCAAATATATGTAAATTTCACGTGTAAGCTTTTAGCTAAAATTGAACTTTCTGCACAATGTGCTACTAAGTTTTCTAAAAAAAAAAAAGGGAAAAAAAGGTGGCAGTTAAGTGGTGCAGTGGATAGAGCTCTGGCCCTGGAGTCAGGAGGACCTGAGTTCAAATCCAACTTCAGACACTTGACACTTACTAGCTGTGTGACTGGACAAGTCACTTAACCCCAATGCCTGGCCAAAAAAAAAAAAAGAAAAAGAAGAAGAAAAGGATAAGAATAACATTTCATTTTTTAAAAGTCTGCAGACTGCTAAGATTTATCTCAGGAATTAAGTTAATAAGTTATAAAAGTGAAAAAAGAAGAAAAACTTTTGATAGATTGAATCCCCCTTCTATAATCATTAAACTGATGGCAAGAACCACAATCTGAGAATGCAGACTCTCTAATCACTTGAATCTCAATGAACCTATTGATGGCAGCTTCCTTGAGGGGGATCTGTTCACATCTGTCTTTTAAAAAAGTGATATCTCTATGAAAGAAAGCTGCTGAATGGATGAACTGTAGTCTTTACTAACATTACACTTTTTCTCTTCTAAATCTAGATCTCTCAGGGTTGTAAAATCTTGAAAATACACTAATCATGGGGCTCATAGATTTAGATCTGGAAGAGACTTCAGAAACAAGCCAGGCCAACCCATTTTACAGATGAAGATATTAGGCCCAAAGACACACAGGTAGCAAGGGGCAGGGCTAGGCCTTAGAAATGAGGTCCATGATTCTGAACTACTTGGCCTCTCCAAAACTCTCTTAATGCTCAAGGAATTTATTTAAAAGCAAATAGTCAATGTTTGTGTATTCAGTAATAGCCGTGCCATTTCGCAAAGTTATTTCCATTTATTAAGTACCAAAAATTTTACAGAGATGAATAAAATTGCCAGTCTCAAGGTCAGAACACTGAAAATTGAAGTACTAGCTGAGTAGGCCTTCACCACATAAATGCTATGGCAAGCCAGATTTATTTCCAGAACATAACTCTTCATGTAATAACATTGAAAAAATCTAACAATTCCCTTGAGCTGTTAGATATACTGTTTGACACACCACCAAATAAGAAATAGCTTGTTTCTAGCTTGAAGATTCCATATAACTTTTGTTTACTGACCATTAATAGAAACGCAGTTTTTCAAATCGTGAAAAAACATGAATATAAAACCACAAAATTTCCCCGAACACTCATATATTCCTTAATAGACAACTGAAATTTTCTGTATTCCATTAACACTATGGGGTATTGCTTTTTAGCTCTCCAGACTGACAAGTTATTTGTTTCTTCTAAATTGGGAATTTGAAAGGCTAAAATGGAATAAACAAAAACCTCTAGTTTCTATATAATTGAAAAATTCAAAATATCAACTAACCTACATATGTAATGTATGAAAATTGTATAATAAAAATTAAACATGTATACAATCAGATTTTATTCATTTGCTTATGTTTTTATAGTAAATTAATAAAATTGTCTGCTTCTCTTTTTCCTTTGTTGGCTCATTTAAAAAAAATATCCAATGAAGTACAATGGCATTGCATAAATCCATGCTTTCAAGAACTTACAGAGAAGAGACCAATAGATGTCATTAGGATTTTTCCACTCTTTTAATAAGATTAAGGGCTTAGTGGGTTTTTTAAATAATCAACAGCCTATAACAGGCCCTTATACATTTTGGAGTGAAATCAAATATTTTATTTTCCTAAGCCTCACTTAATAATTGTTTCCTTTTCCTTATGCTTTATGTGAAATTCATTCTTTATCACTAGTTTTGGTTTTAAACATTAAATTGGCAAATTGCCCACAATCCACATACTGCCATTTATAACATATTGCCTCTCACTGCAGTGGTCCTGAAAGCAGTTCTATTTAAATAATCCCAAAATCATAGAATTTCTGAGCTGGAAGGGATCTCTGAGGCCATCTGGTTCAAAGCTTACCTGAAGAAAGAGTCTCCACTAGCCTGTATCTAACAAGCATCATCTAATCTTTCCTTGAAGGCTGCTAAAGAAAGGAGCTGAAGAAAGATGGCCTTGGCAGAAGGCTTGCTAGGTGGCAAGAAGGTACGAAACAACTGGGAGGTGAGAAAGTGTAGACGGCTTTTCTAGGAGGCTGGGCGCAGAAGGGAGAGATACACAACAGGTGTCCCCGCCCCCCCCTCCAACAGCGATCACATGCTTTCGGGTCCCTAGCGCCTCTTGATGGACTGTTCAGATAGACCCCTATCTGGTTTTCCTGCCTAAGTCTCCCCCTGCTCCAGATCCATCCATCTAAATGACAAGAAAATTTTCCTGAAAGGTACAGGCCTGCTCGCATAACCCTCCTCCCCCGCTGAATACGTTCTTCTCGTTGTTGAGTGGTTTCAGTTGTGTCCAACTCTCTGTGGCCCCATTCGGGGTTTTCTTGGCAAAGACAACAGAGTGATTTGCCGTTTCTTCTCCGTCACATTTTATAGATTAGGAACTTCGGCAAGTGGGGTTAGGTGACGTGCCTCGGGGCACACAGCTGAGTGTCTGAGGCCAGATCTGAACTTGGGGAGAAGAGTCTTCCTGATGCCGCGCCCAGTGTGCTGTCGCTATTCACTGCACCACCTCGCTGCCTTCTGAATGAATTCTAGGGGCTCCCTGTCGCCTCCTTTTGTTGCTGTGCTTCAGTCATTTCGGTCGTTGACTCTTCCTGAGCCCATCTGGGGTCTTCTCGGCAGAGATCCTAGCTCGCTCTGCCATTTCCTTCTCCAGCTCATTTGACAGATGAGGAAACGGAGGCAAACAGTTTTAGGTGCCCAGAGTCACACAGCTAGGAAGTGTCTGAAGCCAGATTTGAACTCAGGGAGATGAGTCTTCCTGACTCCAGAGCTGGTGCTCTGTCCACTGCCCACCTAGCTGCTCCTCACCCCCTGTTACCTCTAGGAGAAAATCCACACTGCTCTGCTGGCCCCACCCCGCTCTTCCATTTCTTTAGATGTCATTCCCCTCCATGAACTTTAGGGTCCTGCCGTAAGGGCCTGCTTGATGTCCCTCACACATGATGCTGTATTGCCTGGCTCTCATTCTGTCTTTCCTTCATGACTCCTAAGCCTGCTCTCCCGCCAACCTCCTGCTGACCTCTCTTCCCTCCGCTCCTCAGTTCTCTCCCAGGCCTTCATGACTAGGCCAGCTCTCCTCTACTCCCTTCCCTATCTGACCCCCTGGTGAACAGGCAGTTCTACTCTATGCTTGTCCCCCCCTTATCCTGTCGCTGATCATGCCTTGCCAACCCCCAACCTCGGATTACCGCTACCATCCGCTGCCTTTGTTCCTATTTGCTTGCTGGTGAATGAAGCTAGAGAAAATCAAGAAACTGCGTTGCCTGGGCTCACTACAGATTATGTTGGCATGTTGCACTCTGGAGCAAGGGGCCATAGCCTGGAAAAACCTCCAGATCTTTTTCAAACTGCTTTCTAGCCAATTTGAAAACTGAAGCCTGAAAGACTTTATGGTTATCCCTATTACACTTCATTTTATTAGATTTAGGCCAGTGGTCTAACCTGTCAAGATGTTACTGGAGACTGGCCCTATCATCCAGTGTGTTAGCAAACTCGATCGCTTTGTGTCATCTGCACTTTTGGTAATCAAACTGTTTTGAGGCCCTGTCCATGTGATGGCTTACAACTTCTGTGTCATGCAGTTTTCAGAAACACTGTGTTATGATAAACTCAATTGCAACCAATTTGTGAACTATACCAAAGAAGCCTAGAAAAACAAGGGTTCTACCAAAAAACAGGTCTAAAAACACAAAGCATCTTCTCTTGGCACAGTTACAATTAACTTTGGCAAATATGACATAGTTACATCTATGGTCAAGCCTTAAAAATTCATTTAGAGAGGGGTTTATGTGTAATTAGGATTTCAGAGGACAGCGAATAACTCAGTACACAAGCTTTTAAATTTCTAACCAAGTATTTCTGTGATTTTCTCCGTATAGTATGGAATCAGAAAAGCCCAAATTGTACCACTGATTCTTTGGTTTTGAACCATCGGGGACAGTTGGTCAGCCCTAAGAAGGACCCATAAGAACCCACTGACTGTTAGAATAAATTATTACAAAAGCAATTTTTATAGTAATTTCCCCCCATTCTAAGCCATGATTTAAAGACATCAAACAAATACTAATTGTATAGTTATTTAGTTAACATATGGCTTATTTTCCACTCCTACCACAAAAAGCTCTTTTCACTCATTACACTTTAATGGTGTCATATATTCTCGCTCTTAGATCTGAAAATTAGGACTCATTTTTTATTTTAAGCCAGGGCACCAGGGTGAGACAACTGAATGAAATTCAAAACCAGACATAATTTGTAGCTGGTGCTGCAGAAAGAACACTGTACATGTGGCATCCAGTAGCTTCTGATTAGAGAGATCCACTGAAACACCCAAACTGTCAGGCAAGAAATAAAACTACTGAATGTTTTAGGGAAAAGAAACTTGATTTCCGAGGCACACTGAATAGTATTACAAGTTCTTCATTTCTGACCGTATCCTACATTCCTGAACAGGGATTCTGTGTAATTCTTGATTGTCATGTGAAGACCGTAGGTAATTTGAAACTTGTGGGAATGGATCTCCCTGTATCTAACAGGAATACTATAAAAAAAGACTAGTTAATCCTTCAGTACAACTGAATTGGTAGATGGAAGAGAGAAATACATATTGGTGACCAAATATCAATTCTAAAAATGTATTTCTTCTATCTACAAAAAGGTTTCACTTAGAGAATGTATTTATTTTATTGCTTAAAATAGGCTGAAATGCCATAGGAAGGAAGTACAAAGTTCATTTACCTGATTAAGTAGCAACAGAAGAGTAAACTAAGTATGAAGACAAAAATTGCAGTTCCAAAAACCACAATGTATATGTTGAGAGGCAGATTCTGGAATCCGATGTTAGGCATTCTGAAACTGTAATGCTGGAAATCAGAGCTCATGGATACGCTGTAGAGAAAGAAAAATCGGGGGGGGGAAACAACAGTATATTACGGAGAGGACAAATATCAAGTGGCATTATATTTGTAAGGAAGATGAAGGAAGAAAGGTGGGCAAAGGACTACTTGTCAGTGTACTCTTTTTTAGGCATCTCTGTAGTGACAGATTGATAACATCCTAGATTCTAGGCTTGGCTGGGCTTTTTTGGGAACAGAAGTAGAAAAGAAGAGGGGAGGGAGACTGTAATGCACCAGGAAGAGAGAATGATACAGAAAGTAAATGAATAGGAAGGATCACTGACAAATTCATCTCTCTCCAGAGACCTTTCGTCTTCTTTTTGATAGCACTATAACTGAATGAATGACTGACTGACTAAATAAATGATGAACTCCTCAGTTCTTCAAATTACTCCTTTCCCATGACCTACTCCTCATGTTCACCTTGCTACACACAGTGCTAGGTATCCCTTGATCTTGCCATCACCCACAAGTGTTCTACTGTCAACTTCATGAACAATGAAACTCCTTTATCTGATCATAAACTTTTATCTTTCTACTTTTCCCTCCACTCTTGTTCTTCGTCCTCCCAGTGAGCTCTACTCCTTCTGCCCCTCAGTTCTGTCCCAGGACATCATCCTCGGCACTGGCTACACTCTCCTCCCTTCCTCACGTTGATCCCTTGGCAAACCACTTCAACTCTACACTATTCTTTGTACTCAACCCCCTTGCCTCCTTACCTTATCACCAATCATTTCTTGTCAAGCCTCAACCCTGGACTTTTCCCACCATCTGCTGCTTTTGCTTCTACTAATTTGCTGCTGAATGGAGCTGGGAACAATGTTAACTGGATCCACTACAAATCTGTTACATTTCAACTGGGCCCTCACTGGAGCAAGGCAATTCTTTTACACATCCCTAATTGATTCATTATCTCACTCACCACTGCCGCTCTTCCAAACCTCTTCATCCCTCCTCAAACTTCTTATAGTATCGCTTTCCCCTACCCTCTCAGCTGAGGACCTTGCCTCATATTTTACTGAAAAAGTTGAGACCAGGGCAGCTAGGTGGTACAGTGGACAGAGCACCAACCCTGGAGTCAGGAAGACCTGAGTTCAAATCTGGCCTCAGACACTTAACATTTATTAGCTTTGTGACCCAGGGCAAGTCACCTAACCCCAACTGCCTCGCAAAAAAAAAAAAAAATTGAGACCACCCCTCCTCTCCCCTTGTCTTCATCTTACATCACTTAAATGCCTTTTGCCCCTATCTCTTCCTTCAACTCTTTTCACCTGAAGAGACGGTCCTTCTCTTTGCCAAGGCAAGGATGCACACGTGATCCTATTCCATCCAAATTTTCCAGGAAATTGCCCCTTCTCTTACTAATTTTAAGTTCCTCTTCAACTACTGGCTGCTTCCTTGCTCTCTACAAATATGTTAATGTCTACCCTGCCCAAAACTCACTGGATCCAACATCCCCACTAACTATATCATCCTATATTTTTCATCCCTTTCATGACTAATCTTTTTTTTTGAGGGGGGGCCTAGGCAATGGGGTTAAGTGACTTGCCCAAGGTCACACAGCTAGTAAGTGTTAAATGTCTGAGGCCAGATTTGAACTCAGGTCCTTCTGACTCCAGGGCTGATGCCCTATCCACTGAGCCACCTAGCTGCCCCATGGCTAATCTCGAGAAAGCCATCTATAATAGGTGCCTCCGCTTTTCTTCTTACTCTCTGCTAAACCTTCTACAACTTGATAGATGTCATCATTCAACTTAATCTGCTCTCTCCAAAGTTACCAGTGACCTCTTACTTGCCAAATCTAATGGCCTTTTCTAAATTCTAATCCTTCGTGACCTCTCTGCAGCCTCTGACATTGTCAATCATCTCTTTTCCTCGATCCTCTCTTTTCTCTAGGTTTTTGTGATTCAGCTACATCCTGGTTCTCCTACCTGTCCTTCAAAGTGTCCTCTACAGGATCTGCATTCAGGTAACAAGAACTGAGTCTCCCCCAACGCTCTGACCTGGGCCTCCCTTATCTTCTCTCTCGCTATTATTTTGCTTGGTGATCTCATCAGCTCTCATGGTTTCTCAACTATCATCCCTATGCAGATGAGTCTGAGGTCTCTTTTGTCTAGCTCTAACCTCTCCCCCAAATTCCAGTCTCACATATCTCACTGCCTACTGGACATTTTGAAGTGAATTGCCACAGACATCTTAAACTCAGAATGTTTAAAACTGAACTCATTACCTCGCCACCCAAACCCTCCCCTCTTTCTAGCTTCCTTGTCATTGTCTAGGGCACCACCAACCTCCTAGTCACCCAAGCTCACAACTTAGGTATCAATCTAGCCTCCTCGCTCACACTCCTTCTGTGCAGCCAATCTGCGGCCAAGTGCTCTATCCACTGCACCACCTCGCTGCCAGAAAGGAATGTTCTAATCTCCCAGCGCCTGTACTAGGACGTCAGAAATTGCCTGTATCAGAGGATCACTCGTCCTCTTCAAAGATCAACTTCAGCCTATCGTAGCTCCCCTCTTAAAACTGGAAGCAAACTTGAAGCAAGAAAATTTGAACAAAATGCCAGCCCAAACACTCTAAGTTATGGTTCAGTTGAGACACATTTCTCCCCAGATACAGTGTTTCCCTTGACTTTAACTTCCTATCCTCAGATCTGCATGGGAAGGCAGGGAGAGAAAGCTAGTAAGCAATTTTAACAGATCCCTATCACACCCATAGCCAACATCAGAAAATTATGGCCATATAAAATTACACTGCACATCCTCGACATTCATGACTGTTTTAGTAGTCTTACAGTCCTCTGAACCAGCACACTACTAGGGTTTAAACTATTCCCTCTGTTTAATGGTGAAATAATTTCCTCCCTTAAACAGATGATGCTTAATACATTTTTTTTTATCATTTTCAAAAACATTAGGCTTGAGTCAGGTATGAGCTGGTTAATAAGTCACGGAGGAACAGAGAAAGGAGTGGAAGGTACTGTGGCTTATGGGGAAAGAACCTGAGGCTTGGAGTCAGTAAGTCTGGGTTGTGTTCCCAGCTTGGCCACTCAATAGGCAGGTCAGTCTCCCTCACGGTCACAAATGGGGTTCAGTAGAGACAGATGACCTGGATTTTAGTTCCACCTCTGCCACTTAACAAGTGTGACCTCTGGCAAAACTCTTAACTTCTTAAGCCTCAATTTCCTTATCCGTAAAATGGGCAATGAGAAGAGTACTCTAAGGTCTCTTCCAGAGCAAACATTTGTGACTCTGGGAAAACCTTGCCCTACTTTATCCTGAAGAAATGGGATGTCCCATGGAAGCAGAGAGACTTTTCATTTTGTCCTTGTCTCTTCAGTACTTGGTACAGTGTCTGACATGTTGGTGTTTAGTCATTTCAGTCGTGCCCAACTCTCTGTGACTCTGGGTTTGTTTTTTTTTTGGCAAAGATACTGGAGTGGTTTGCCATTTCCTCCTCCAGTTCATTTTACAGATGAGGAAACTGAGGCAAATAGGGTTAAGTGACTTGCCCAGAGTCACACAGCTAGGAAAAGTCTGAGGCCAGATTCGAACTCAAGGAGATGAGTCTTCCTGACTTCAGGCTTGGTACTCTATCCATTGCACCACCTAGCTATCCAACCTGACACACAGTAGGTGCTTAATAAATGCCTTCCGGTTGATTAAATTCAGAGGAGCTTGGGAAGACACGTTAATTAACATACAACAAAATAAGCAAAACTAAGCCAATTCCAGTCAACAAGCATTTATCAAGTGCTTTCTATGTGCTACACACTAGGAATGAAAGTACAGGCAGAAAGAAGGACTCCCTGCCCATTCTAAGGGGGGAGGACAACATACAAAAGGGGGCTGAAAAGCATGGCTTGGGGTAGGGAGAAATGAAGGGATTCACTGTGGGGACATTATAGAGAAAGTCAGGGAGAGGCAGGAGTGAAGCCTGGAAAGGAACGAAGACATGGCTGACCTGGTCATCCTCCTTAAAACAAGGGTTCTGAAGAGAGGGCGAGGCTCAGGGGATGCATTTCCATCATGTGAACCAAGAAAACAAGTTACATGCTGACCTCAATAATGCGGAGGGTAAAAAGACTTGAAAGACATCAGAACTCTGATCAGTTCTGTGACCAAAGCTGACTGAAGAAGGCTGATAATAAAGCCCACGACTGGCAGAGCAGTGGTGGACTACAAGTGCAGAATGAAGCCTATATTGTCAGAGATGGTCAATCTGCTACTTCTTTAAAAAATTATGCTTCTTTGTTAAAAGGAGTTCTATGGAGGAGAGAGGCGTATGCAAATGACAACCATGGAAGAAAAACAACAATAAAATACTTCTTTTAAAAAGGAACAGAGCAAAGAAAGAATTATATAGTGTTTAGACCATCTAGAAATATTAACTTGACTTTAAGTACATGAATATCAGATCTTTGCCTAATGACCAACATATTTTCAAATCTCCAAGATCTCCCTTTCCCTTACCCTGAGGCACTGAAGCCAAGTCTTCTCAAATCAACCTTGTATCGATATTCAGGACGCAATACAGCACTGATGGCTCATGCAGCAGACCCTTCATCTCCAGAACTAAGGCCTTATGCACCATACTCCTCAACTCCAGGACCAGAGTCTCTAACAAATGACTCTCACCTTAAAGTCCTAGCCTAGGACAAAGATGTAGTTATCAGATAAAGTAATGCAGAGTGAAAAGGAACAATATAATGCAATAACTATGACAGTATAAGTCAAGTCAGTACTAAGGGACAACAAAATTCTGGACAAATATAATGTTAATACCATACTATTTGAGTTAAAGGTGCCTGGCATGTGAGGTGGATCCCCTGTGAAAGATTCATGGGAAGACATGAGCGAGAATCTTACTATATAAGAAGGCACAGGTGGGTTTTGATCCTCACTGCTGAAGGGCTAAGCAGAACAGAAACACTGAGATCCATTAAAGTATATAAAGGTCACTATGAACTAGAACTAGAAATGTGGCTGTATGGGGCAAAGTGACTGTAAACTAGACTGTAACAGCAATGTATGTGTTTACAACATCTTTGCTACCATGCTATTCATACGGCTCAACCACATGGGATGTGTGGTCTCTATTTTAATCTTTGTTATGCACAACAGGCTATTTCTCTAGCATTCGGTCACCCAGAATGCTTTCCTGGTGCTTATAAAGTTCAGTGATAATTAATGTTCATATGATAATCAAGGCAATTATCATTATGACAGCTCTAATTTAGCACTGGGATTCTCATCGTGCTCTGATTCTTTGAAACTGGTCATTCACATACTGTTATATTTGATAGCTGTATAAAACAGAACGTCTGATTAATTAAGGCACTAGATTCTGTAACTAGCTTTGATAACAGAACATTTCCTGTAACAGTGAGTGGTTTGGCTCTCTGCTTGTCTGTGGCTCATCTTTGTTTATCTTGGCTCAGCGCATGGTACTGGTAGAAGAGGAGGCTTAAACACAGTAGGGCTGAACTATACAAGACAGGGTCAGTAGACTAATATATGAGAAGAATGCTGTACATGGAGTTCACCTACATTTTATTGTTTTTAAAACACTACCGGCACATCATGTTTTGACACAACAACACTTTCCTACCAAATAATCCTTCTACAAAGTCTGTTGTTAAGTCATTTCAGTCATGTCCAACTCTCCATGGCCCCATTTGGGGTTCTCTTGTTGGCAAAGATACTGGAGTCGTTGGCCACTTCCTTCTGCAGCTAATTTTACAGATGAGGAACTGAGGCAGGCAGCGGTTAAATGACTTGCCCAGGCTCACACAGCTGGTAAGTCACTGAGACTATAACTTGCCTACTCAGAGCTAGCAAAATAAGAATTCCACCATGAATCTTAACAAAAGAAAAAAGTCCACCTATCCCTTCTTCATGTTGTTAGAGAGGACAAGGTCCTTTGTAGGAAACACCAAGATCCAGGAATATACTTTGTTTAACTTATCCTATTTAATCGTACAAGTCATAATTGCTAAGTAACTTTTACATTTTCAATCCATTGGGGAAAGAACTGCTTAATAATGGGGAAGCAAAGGTGAGTAAAAGCATCAATCTCTTTCCCCAAGTTTATTAAACTATAGTTCTCCTCTAAGCTGTGAGAGGGTACCATGATGAAAGTCACACAATAAAATTAATTTGTTACTGAATCCAAGATTGAGAGATGTTCTGGAAGAGGCCTGACACCTCCTCGGAGTTTAGCCAGTGCAGTGTATGCGGCTGGACCGATCTATCTTCAGGGACAACTGCCTGAAAACGACGCTTCTCTTCAAGCGACTTGGAGCCTCGTTCCAGTCATACGTATTCCTAAAAACAAGTAATCCCTGCAAAGAAGCTGTGTTTGTTGTTTTACATGGTGCCCCTTGACACAAGGATGCGGGGCGAATTTACCTACTTAGAATCTGCAAATAATGACATGATTTTAAGACGCTCCCACAAAGCAGACCTTTTGCTTTGCCAGCAAGGTACAGCCCAATCTTTTTTTAAAAAAAAAGGGTCTTACACTGTGACTTGCACTCAAGAGATGGACTCTGTCCAAATAGGAAGAGTCAGAGATTTCAAAGAAGCAATTCTTTTATGAGAAATACCCTGAAGATGAAAGTCACTTTGGGAAACCACAGGGAGTAACTCTTTTGTTATAAAAGATAAACAATAACTATTGTGTTGTAAAGAATATCATTGGATTATATTTCAGAAATCCTACCTTAAAATATTATATACTTATCTGATTGGGCAAAACTAAACTCTAACAACTCACAAGTTCTGTAATTTGAACATTCCAGTTTTTGGAGGCAATGTTGGTAACTGCTTGCCACATCCAATATGTTTCTATGTCAAACTATCTACTGGTGGTGGTTGTTGTTAAGTTGTTTCATCATGTCTGATTCTTTGTGACCCATCTGGGGTTTTCTTGGCAAAGATACTGGAGTGATGTGCCATTTCCTTCTCCAGCTCATTTTTCAGATGAGGAAACTGAGGCAAACAGTATGAAGTGACTTGCCCAGGGTCACACAGCTAGTAAATGCCTGAGGCTGAATTTGAATTCAGGTCTTCCTAAGTCTAGGCCCACCACATTGAGCCACCAAACTGATCCTCTACTAGTGCCTACTATCAATGTTACTCACTTTTCTAGCAATTGCAGTATGAAATGCATTCATACTATAGGATCAAATTTTGTTATACCAAATACTGTCATAACAAAAATTTCTGTATAACAATGTTCTTAAGCCTAAGCAGAAAATGTACTTATTTCCAAAATAATGAAAGTTCCTTGGGCCAGTTTCTTGAAATCTGTTGTATTAAGAATTGATTTATAATAAAGGGAAGGGAGAGGAATAACTTCCAGGTACTGTATCCTACAAATATTATCTCATCTGATCCCCACAACAGCCCTGAGAAGTATGAAGTATTATTACTCTCATTTTACAGTTAAAGAAACTGAGGCATACAGCAGTTGAATGGCTTGCCCAGGGTCACACTGCTACTAAGTGTCTGAGGCCAGATTTGAACTCAGGTCTTTCTGACTCTATGCCTAGTGCTCTATCCACTGCACCACCCAGCTGTCTCTAAATAAAAACCAGAAACCTATATTGTATATACTGAAGGCTAATATTTCAGGTTAACATAATTAACCTAAGTTACTGGAACTGAAGAGAATAGCCAAATATAGTTGTAATAGCTGGAAGAAACAGAGCACGACCAGTTAGAGGAATGGTGATTACTGGGACACCTCCTCTCTCATGGTTTCTCTCCGTCAGGCCACCATCCTCCGGGTTACCCAGGACTGAAGCATTAGAGTTACTTCTGACATCCTTCTCGTTTTCTCCCTCACATTTCGCAGAGTTGTTCCTTTCTTTGCACTCTCCCTCTGAGCCAAATTTTCCTTTACATTTTCCTGGCCTTCCACTGCCTTATACTTAGACTTAACTCTAAGAACTTCCTAAACTGGCTTCAGCCTCTTCATATGCCCAATCCACCCTACTTATGGAAAACCATACGCCACCACTTTTTCCATGACTTCCCTACCCAAAAGCCTTTGAAGGCTCCCCATGGCTGATAGCATAGGGTCCAAACTCCTTGTCTCGGCATTCAGAGCTCTTCAGTCTTATCTCCTGTTACTCTGATTCCTTTGCTTTAGCCAAACAGACTCTTTCCTCATGACGTTCCTCCTACCTCGAGTGCCCTTTCTGGTCCTCTAAACCCTGCACTTCTTTCTTCTTGAAAGTCCAGCTCGCGTCACCTTCTTTAAGAAAATATTCCCAATGTTTTGTAGGCCTTGATAATTTTTGAATGCTTACTTTTGGTCAATAAGCATTCATTAAGCATCTACTATGCATCAGGCACTGTGTCTGCCCTCAGGGAGCTCATAATCTAACGGATGAGAAAATGGACAAATAATTATATATGAATATATACAGAACAAACTGGAAACAACAGAAGGAAGGCAATGAGAATTAACAGATATTGGGAAAACCTTCCTGTAGAAGGTAGGATTTTAGTTGGACTTAAAGGAAGCCAGGGGTGGAGATGAGGAGGGAGAGTGTTCCAGGCCTGGGGGATAGCCAATGTCACCGGATCCCCGAACAGACGGGGTAAGGTATTAGAAGACTGGAAAACAGGGAGTGGCAGTTCAAAGCAGGGCTTTGAACACCAAACAGAGGATTTCATATTTCATCCCAAAGGTGATAGGGAGCCGCTGGAATTTACTGAGCAGCGGGTGATGCGACTGGCCTCGCGCTTCAGGAAAGTCTCTTTGGTGGCTGAAAGAAGGATGGGCTCTGACACTATCTAGCTCTTGACAAAGTGGTGATAATTTAAGATGCAGAATGAGACATACATTTTTGGACACGGGCAATGTGAGAATTTGTCTTTCTTGACTATACATATTTGTTATAAGAGGTTTCTTTCCCTTTTATTATAAGGGTGAAAGGTGGCAAGGAGAGAAAATAAATGCTTGCTACTTGAAAATAAAAGCATTACTAATTCACAGTTGTTGTTTTTTGGCCAATTTGCATTTTCTTTTCTTTTTCATGTATTTTCTTAATGAACTTTAATAATAAAACTGCTATGATATGTATGATTATGTGTGTTTGTCCATGAAATTGTTTGATATTAAAAATGGGTCCTTGGACTAGAAAACACAGGAAGCCCTATGTTCAAATATAAAAAGATACATACTGGCTTCAACACCAAAGTTCATTCAACAAGCATTCAGGCAACAAGCCCATCTTGATCGATATTCTGTCCATGACAGTGACACCGAGGGAAGGTTATGGGGAGTTCTTTATCACATCAACCTTGAAAACTTAGTGATCTTCCAAAATACTCTACTTTTCTTTAATACTTTACTGTGAATCTATTGTTAACAAATTCATTTCACTCTTTTTGAAATTATTTACACTTTCAGTTTGCTTTTTTTGATCTTTATTAATTGACTCTCTAGTTAGTATATTCATGATTTTACAGACTTCATCTTTCCAAGTTGAAAAGTCCTAGATTCTGTCGCCTGTGCTTCTGTGACAGCCTCTCCATCCCTTTGTTAATTTTAGGTGCTCTTTTTTGGGTCTCTGCCTGATTCCATTATGTCTTTCTTGAGGGAAAACAGCCAAAGAGAGTATCACAGAAAGAGGTTATAGCTTG